AATAATAAATAAAGTTTGGGTTTAATAAATAGGAAAAATAATAATTATTTAAAAATTGCCTTACAATGGCCATTGTTTATGAAGGGGGTCGTTTTGAAATGGAATGCCTCATATACAACCAGTAATTGCAAAAATAATCACTGGGCACAATTTGAACATAAAATTTTTTTTATCTGTAATAATTATATGCACGGAAAAGAAAATTCGACGATTATTATTGTTTATGTATATCTTAAAAAAGTCATAACTCATTAATTTACATCAACCTGACAAGATTAAAAACATAATTTTTGAATTTTTTGAAAAATTCATAACTTTTGTTCAACCTAATATTTTTTCATCAAATATGGCTAATATTTTATGTTATTTCGGTAAATAAACCATAAAAATCATAGTCTAAAGCTTTTTGGGTTTAGACTATGATTTTTATGGTTTTTATCATCAAAATGAGCTACACGTCAATTTTAACAATTTTTTTTGAAATCAGCGCATCAAATTACGTAAGTTTATACTGTTTGGAAAAAAATTAAAAGTTCACGGCTTTTGAAATTTCGTCAAAAATTTAAAGATTTGAATTTTAAAAATCTATCTTCTCTTACAGTTTGAAATATTTTTCAACGCCAATTTTTTTCCATGTAGGGAGAAGTTCCCTAACACCGGACGGCACCTAGCGCAGGACACTTGTAATTCTTCGACAAATGACAAATCATCCGATTAAAAAATTGTTGAAAAAGTCGCGAAAGAACGTAATAATAAAGAATCAGAGAGCTCGGTTTGTTAATATAATTCCAAGACTGTCACAGTTTTTTTTAATTTCTTAACGGTGTTAGTATAAAATAACGTAATTTTGAGGATTGCTTGTCCCCTAGTACCGGACAGTTGACAAATTGGTTTTTCTAGATAAACCCAGCCAATAAGTGAATAGTTAAGTCACTTTTGTTTCATTTGAATATATTAGACAGGAATATTCGTTGAACCAATCATACACTTAATGTATTACCCAAACTTTCTAGTCGTATTTCGGGACTTTTTGGAAAATCTCTATATGTGACCTGGTCTATGAATAGGACTTCACCGTGGATCACAGTATCAAAATAAAAAACATACAAGAAATGAAAATTTTTTTTTAATAATTGTTTTATATAAATTAATAACAAACTCCCCAAACACAGAAAAAATAATCTAAGTTTTCTAAATAGCAACATAATAAGTATAAATAAGTGACACATGTTTGGAAGGGTTTTCGAGGCCGCTGATTACGAATATGATGTTAAATTGACAATTTGACAGTTGACAGCTGTCAACTTCTCTAAAAAGTGATCGTTTTTTTATAAAAAAGACAGTAACCCAGATAACAATTTGAGATTGATATGCGTCTCATATCGCTCGCATGTATGAGGTTTCTTTTCGCACTCGTGCCTTCACTGATGCAGGTAGATGCGTCCTCATATGAGACGCATTACGCTCGCATGTCATAAAGGTGCATGATGCATGAGAGTGAAATGCGATCATCGTGCGTTTTTGAAGGATTATTTATGATAAATATATTGTAAAAAATTAAATACAAAACGACGCCTCCCGTTCATATAATGCTTATTGAAAAACAAATGCAAGATCATTCTTATTCAGTTTTTAGCGCAAGACAATTCTTATTCGATTTTCCGTGCAATAAAATGCTTATTCAAAATTCTATGCTAAAAAGTATAATCTGAAATTAGCTTACACTATGAGTTTTATAAAATTTTCAATTGAATATAATTTTTAATTACAATTGCTTAAACAATATTTCTTAATACGTAAGAGATAATCAAGTATTAAATTTTCTAATAACAATAGATACGCACTGAAATTTTCAGATATTTAATTGCAATTTAATATTAACAAGATGATTTAGGGTTACATTTATTGTTCTGTTAGTGGCAATTGTTTTGAACACAATTTTGAATAAGCATTTTATTGCACGGACAATCGAATAAGAATTGTCTTGCACTAAAAACTGAATAAGAATGATCTTGCATTTGTTTTTCAATAAGCATTATATGAACGGGAGGCGTCGAAAAAGCTAAGGTTAAATTTAAAAATATTTCATTAAAATTTTTTATTTCAATAAAACATGGCATTAATAATACTGAACATTTTTCTCTTTAGTCTTGAACATACATAACCTCCTAAATAACCTATAATAAACATTAGCTGAGATCATACTTCGTAATAAATATAAACTTTTCAACACAAATTCAACAAAAGTCAACTGTATAATATAATAAATTAACAATTTGGACTGCGTCTAAGAGCTTTTCTATTCGAAGCAAATCAACTTTAAATGCTCTTGTTCGATATGACCGTTATATTTTTTAATTTAAAAACGAGTTTAAACAAAAAAAAATATTTATAAAACATAAAAGAAACAAAACTGTGATTCGCACACGCACTTTTTATAAATAACAAACAATCACGACATTCACCCAACGATAAAAACACATGCTCAGAGCGAAACTGGACGTCATGTGACTCGAGACGGACACCAACAAGTACATTTTCGGCCATATTGGGAAAATTGGCTGCGCACCCTGCGCACATGCGCATCGGTGAGACTGCGAATATTAAAAAAATTATACACTGAAAGAATTTTGGGCAGGCTGCAGGCTTTACATGAGTGCCGCTAGAGCTCGCTGCCTCAAGCTCTCAGTTAACCTCAAAAAGGCGAGAATCTACTCCCGAAAGGTAAGGCTGCGGTTACACCTCTGCAGGCAGCCTGCCTGCCTGCAGGTTGTCATGGTAACGTACAAGAGTAAGAGAGTCAGTGACTTCAAACTTCTCCCTTACTCTCGTTGCTCCTGCCTGCGCAGGCAGGCAGCCTGCAGAGGTGTAACCGCAGCCTAAGCAGCAACTCCTCAGGGGCAGCTGCTCACCTTTCGGGAGTAGATGCTCGCTTTTTTGAGGTGAGCTGCGAGCCCTGAGCAAGGGGCACTAATTTCGGACATGAAAAGCCAGCAGCCTGCGCCTAAAATTCTTTCAGTGTAAAGTCAAATATTTTTCTGCCTTCATTATCAACTTTAGATAAATAAATGAAAATAACGTTCTACATTAAAGTATTATTTTTTTAAGTAAAAATTTTTTCTAGTAATTTCAAAACATTTAGTAATTTATTATTATTTAAATTAAATTATAAATTACAATTTATAATAAATATTATATATATATGAGTCATTCCATTATATTTCGACTAAAGTCTTTGCCGACTAATTTTAAAAAATTATAATATTTTGCAGGAATGATTTTAAAGATATTAGGATCATCGAACAAAAAGAATTTTTTTAATATTTTTTATATTTATTGTAAAATAAGCATCTAAAGTATATAAAGTCGTAAAAACTGTCTATTAGAAAATATTAAGAAAAACACATAATTTACTATGAAAACGTAAAAAAATTATTAGAATTTATTATGAATGAATTATTTTATTATTATAAATTGATAGAAGCAATTATTATTAAGAAATATTAAATAAAAAATTATTTTAAAGTTCACCTGGCAAATAACCTATTTTTGCAAATTTCATTCGTTAAATGTGAGAAAGAGAAATCATTAAATTGAATAAAACTTTAGGAAATATAAAGAAACTTTTAATAACTTTTAGTTTTTCTTATCCCTTTTTACCTTTTTTCTTCACAAATGTTTAAAAATAAGCAATTAAAACTGGCACTTTGCTTATTTTCACGATTTTCAAATGTAAATAACTTCTGCCCAGAAAAATGAAAAATTACGAAAATTGGGCAATAATAATAAGATGCTTATTTTACAATAAATATAAAAAATATTTAAAAAATTCTTTTTGTTCGATAAAATATAAATTTTATATTAAATTTTAAATTGTAAATTATTAAATAATTCAATTTTATAAATTTCTACAAGTTATCATTAAAGTAATTTCCATAAATTCATAAATTTTATTGATTTAATGTAATATAAGATTATTTGAGGGGCTGATATAAAGTGTGGTTTAAAAAAACATTGGGAGAACAAGTGGGATAAGTGACTTGGTCATTAATTATAATTAATTTATCCATAAATTACAAAATCATTTTAGCCCGTATTTGCGCCCAAGTCACTTATCCCACTTGTTCTCCTAATTACCACTTTTACTATCAACCCCTCATTTCAAAGTATTACGTTTATGCCCTCACGCATGCTACAAAATTAGCACGAGCGACAGCAAAATGTGTCTCATTGAGCAAGCACGGTGTGACTCGCACGTCATGTGTCTAAAGTGCAACAAATTCAGAACGAGTGACTGCTAAATGCGTCTCATTATGCACGCACCGCGTGACTCGCATGTCCTGCGCCCGAAGTGCGACAAAGTGCGACGCATGATTGTTATCTGGGAATAAGGATTTTGAGATCGCTGATTACGAATATGATATCAAATTTGAATTTTAACTGTTGACAGTTGTCAAAGAAACTGTCAACTTTTCTAAATAATAAAAAATTATCGTCTTCGTTAATATAAATTAGTATTGTCTCTATTGCAAAAATACTTACCGAGAAAACTGGCTGAGTACTTCTCCTGTTGAACAGGCGTCTTGTTGTGAAATGCTGTTAATATGTCTCAAAAATATCAACGTAAAATATTGTCTTACTATAGTACACTTTGTTTTTACACTAGAGGATCAATTTTTTATTACATCTCAAAAAAAGTCCATCACTTTAGTCTTAATTGAAAAAGATAATTTGTAAATCAGTTTTCAAAATTTTTCTGTAAAATCGCTGAAAATTGTATTGCAGAAAATAATTTTTTTAAAAACTCGAGAGATTATATATAGCAAAGGAAATGAAATATATATATTTAATACTTAGATAACTGTAATAAGAATTTGAAAATAAATTTCTAAATTATATTTTATAATCCTAAACACATATGATATAATTATAGTTAAATAGTAGACATATGTATATTTTAATGTACATTAATACATAAATGTTTTTATAGTTGTGCCAGTTTTTATTGCACTGTGAGGATTAGGAGTGCAGCTGATTTAGTTCATGATTCCTCAACATATGTATTATTTTTTCAAAGTGTTAACAATTTTTTATATTACTCTGATAAGGCTCTTCTTTAAAAGGCGAAAGGTGTTGTATAAAACAAATTTTATTAAAGATCGGTAGAAGAAAACATCGCATTTCATAATTACAAAAGTAAACTGACCAACACTTTGACATTTTTTTTTAATTACAAAATATTATAAACATATTTTATAAAGATGTCGATCAGTAATTGGAATAAAAATGTGAATAAGTTTTATTCATTCTGTGTTTATTGGTTAGAAATTGTGTTGTAACAGAAAATAATTTTTAAGTAAATTAAAACAAGGATAAATTTAATGATTTAAAGGATAAGTACAATTTTTGACCAATAAGGACAGAATAAAATCTTTACACACTTTGTAAGTGGACACTAAAAAATTGTCTTTATTTGGATGTACCGTCTAGATTGCAAAGAAATAGTTTTAATTACACGAAACTTAGAGTAAATCCGCAACGAAATGTTCGTTGAGAGGTGTGTGGTACATAAAATTTTGGTAACATTGTCTCTCTAAAAATCGAGATGAAACTGACCTCGACATCGTGCAACTTCCTATTATGATGTACCGTTTACTTTACGTTTTACAAAATTACTTCCAATACATGTATTGCAATATTTGCTTCTGGAGTATTTAACAGTATAATTTTATTTTACATTTCGAGAAGAATGGAACGAAAATTGGGGAATTCGGGCATAGTTGTATAAGTTGTGCATTATTGATTGTTACATGTACACTGATGATGTCGCTATATATTACAATTGTTAATTCTCCAAATAATATATAAAACCTGTTGATTTCTTCTTTATTGCATGGATTTGCGATTATCATGCGGCCTGTGGACCTGTCGAATCATTCTTTGCTTTTATCAGGATTCTACCTTGAACAATCCGATAACGGATAAGAAAACCGTCATTTGTTTCCATTCTAAATGTGAATAAAAGAGGAAGCTCAAATCAGATGATCATATCAAGTCTTCTGTATGGGAAGTACGGCACAAGGACATAGCTGGGTTTCAAAGAGGGAATGTGGAAGTGGAATCGGAGGGTTGAAGAAAAGTAGGGGAACTCACTGGAGCTGGAGAATTCTCCGCTACTTCTGCACCGCCCCATTCTCCGTGGACACGCCTTTCTTCAAGCTGGAAAGTCTAATCGTTTCTTCCCATTCATGGACCATATTGCTGTTCGAGTTCCCTACGGAGTCTTTTCGCTGCAGTGTCGCTGTTTCCGTTTCCATTGTTATTTCCCATAGCTTCACTGTCACTACATGCGTCTTCGGCATCAGCCACGACACCTTCCACCTCTTCTTGTCGTCTCTTGGCCGTCGCCATTTCCGCTGCGTGCTTCTTGCGCCACTTTGTCCTTCTGTTTTGGAACCAGACCTGCAACACACACAAACACAAGAGTGCTTACTACTAATCATAATAATTAATCCTTAAAAAGTCTTTACGCAAATTCAACTTGTGATTAATTAGATCGAAATGGAGTTATACTTTTCGGGGTGATTGTAAATTACAATGCGAGGCAGTAATATCGATTATTCTGTCTCAAAATTACTTCCTGCTATGCTCGCAGCACCTCAGTAATGCTAAATGGTCCGATACAATATTGCTGTTCAAGTTTAAATGTAAAGAATTAATCTACAGATAAATTCCACATACACAGCTTATTTTCTAAAGGCTATAAAGTATAATAAAGCTTCATATTTTTACATTTTCGAACTCGGAAAAAAGGAATTCTTAATTTTAGAATAAACTAACTATACTTTATGTCCTCTTGGTTTCTTTATGGATTTTTAAATCTTGCTTCAAAATTTAGAATACTTAAAAAAATTTAACTTTATGATCATTCTGTTTTTATTATAATTTTAAAAATTATTAAACTATTAAATTATAAATCTAATAAAAGATTGCTGTTTTTCGAAAATAATAATTGATTCACTTTTTAATAATAACGCCATTTTGTTATTTTTGCAAATGAAAATTTCTAGTTCAGACCATAATGTAAAACTATATAACCGCACTAATTTTGGGATTTTCTCTGAGGTTGATATTCCACAAATTTATTAGGAAAAGTATTTTTACTACGATTTTGGGGAATTTTCCACAAATTAGTGAAATATTCTACAAACTTGGGGAAACGTGATAAAATATTAGGAAATTTTCCACAAAGTGGAGGCGAAAAAATTGTTCACCAAAATTTTGTTCAATTTTCCACAAAATAGTGAAAATTTCAACAATCTAATAGGAGAGAAATTAATATAAAATTTTAGTAAATTTTACACATAATATAGTAAAAAAATGTCATATTTTATGAAAGCTTTGTGAAATTTTTTCCAAAATTAATAAAAATTTTCAAAAAATTGAAGAAACTTTTTAAACTTTATGAAATTTTATACAAAATAAATTCCACTACGATTTTGTGGAATTATTCCAAAATGAGTTAATTTTGACTAAATTGCATGTACAAAATTATTAACATTTTTACTAAATGTATGTTTTAGGGACTAAAAAAGAACTAATATTAACCATTTATAAGGCCCAGCGGTTTCGATTGAAACCATGTTTGAACATTTATAACTTTGTCAAAAATTAATCAATTTTTAAGTTCTGAACTTAACTTTGTAATTTATATTACTTTATAAAAATAAACTATAGTACAAAGAATTTACAAGTCTTATTTTATTTTTTTTATTAAGAAAGAAAGCCCAACAGTAAAACCAATAGTAGGGCTTATAATTAAACAATATAAAAAAAATTTTAAATTGTTAAATTACTTAAAGCAAAGCTCATAAAAATTACTACTTAAGGGTTTTCGGGGTCGCGGATTTCAAATCTGTTGTTAGTTTTTCAAAATTCAAAATGGCGGATTCAATATGGCGTAAGAAAAAATTTGAAAATTGAGATATGCTCATGAAAATTATCACTTGGGAATTTTTGGGGTCAATGAATTTAAATCTGATGCTAGTTTTTCAAAATTCAAAATAGTGTTAGGTATTTTCTTCTTTTATTTTTTGAATGTCAATAATAACTTTTCATTTATTTCTGAACAATAGCTGTTGCTCGAGGTATTTCTTTTTTCTCATAATAACTTATTCGTTTATGACGATATTTTAGCGTTAAGAATTAGTTTCTGAATTTTTAGGAACTAATATCAGATTTGTAATCAGCGACCTCAAAAACCACTAATGATCATTTTCATGAGCCTGGGTCAATTTTTCCAACCTTCATATTGGATCCGCCATTTTGAATTTTTTAAAACTGACATCGGATTCGTAATCAGCGATCCCAAAAACCCTTAAGTACAGAATATAACGAAAATCGCATAAGTTAAAAAAAAGTCAGGTTTTAAAGGGTTAATATTATGCTTTGTTACTTAATTTAATTAATATTTTGAACAAAAGAACCCTGTCTAATTTAGAATATAAAAAAAGAATTTTTACTGGAAGGATCACTTAGAAGAATAAGTCAAATTAACTTAACTTTACAATTATTATAATTAAAATAATTAAAATAATTAAAAATACTTTCACTATGAACTACATAAATTTTTTGTTTTATTTATAGGGAAAATTATTTCTTAACAAATACAATTAATATTTTGGTAAACAATTTCTTATACTAAAACATGTTTAACAAACAATTATAAGCTATTTTTTTACTTACAAAAAGCATTGCCATAAATAGTTAAGTTTAGTAAAAGATTTATACTATGGGGGGGGGGCTTAAAATCATTTTGCTCTTAGTCAAAAGTATAAAATGTTTTAAGGAATTTTCTCGTCTTGAAATATTTGGCACATCTGGTTTGTCTTAGGATGACCAACAATAAGGGTTTCTCGTTGCAAGAGGACTTATTTTATGAGGTTTTCAGAATGGGTTTTTTTCTTATAAATTTATTTAGCTAGAATGTTTGAGAAATTTTTTTCTGTTGAAATATAAACGGTAAATACACGGAAATTTTAGACGTTTTCTAAGAAATTTTCTTGGAAAAGTCTTTCAAGATGTGTTTCACAAAAAAGTATTTTTACACAGTATGTTGTTGTAAAACCTCTGAAGGCAATAAATGGAGAACTAAGAATTACACAAAGACTATATTTGTGATCCGAAAGCAAAAAAATTGACTGATAATATTGTAAAGTTCAGTGGTAGTATTTTTAATTAACATAATTTTAAATGTATATAACATTATATGATCTAATACGCGCTTTTTTCTCAGCCTAAACTCCGCATAATAGGCTAGGTTTAACACAAATAACACACATATATATTGAACTAGAAAAGTAATAAATTATTGTTAGATTCAAAAATTTCATTAACTTAAAAATCCACCTTACGATATTGTTAAAAAGTTTATAATTTGAATGTGAAAATATATAAGTTTTGAAGAAAGAAAAGTAAAATTAATTACGTTCCATTTCCTGAGTGTAAAAAAGCAAAAGCGTATAAAGAGTTAGGAATTAATATCAGCTGCTTTGTTATAGGCAGACATCCGTCGCAGAATATTACTTAAGACCTTTTTTGTATCGTGTTATTTTAAATGAAGCACAGCTTCTTAATGATATTAATTTTTTATTCAGGAAGAGTTTATTTTATATGAAGGCAGTTTATTTTGTAATCCGTTGAGGCAAAGAGCTTTATGCATTTAATTTAATTATACTTTCGACTTGGTGGTCATTGAGCAAGCCTGTAAACTCTCAAGGAAAAAACAAAGAAGAGCGAAAAGAGGAGGAGAAGTTAAGTTAGGTTAGTAAAGTGTAGTAGCACAGTGCTGGCTGGGATCATGGATGCCCTGTGGGTGCAATCGCTTCTCTAGTCTGTGCTCCGCGCTCCCTTGGCGCCCGTAACGTTAATTAAATACATTGTTGTGGGGACACGGACTCCAAGTACGTATTTTAAGCTTTATAGGTGCAGAGGGGCACCTTAAGTGAGCACGATTCCTGCGTAGTCAGACGGTTAATTTTATACAGATATTCTATAAAGAAAAAGATTAAATTTCAAAGACTCTACCTCATCTGTATATATGTTATAATTAAACAAAATTAACTTTGTCTTGAGAAATTCAAATGAACGTGTGCAAAACAGTTGTCTAATCTCATTTAAGAAAATACATCATTTATTTCAAAACAGTTCAAAACAAAGTTTTAACCCTTAAAGTCGAAACTTATATTTGATACACGCATGTTGGAAGATTCACACCCGAGACTAATTATCATGTGTTCATATTTTTTATGAATCTCAGCTGAAAAATCCTTTACAAGATCCTTTAATCTTCCTCTACAAGAATCTTGAAGGATCCTTCATCAGGGACCCAATATCCTGCAAAGGATAGTGCCAGGATCCCCTACAGGATATTGGAACAAGGATCCTATATATACAGGTTCCAGTGCAGAAACATTAGCTATCAATGTTTCATGTAAAGGTTTCTATGAATTGTGAAGCTTTCAAAAAATCGTCTACTATATTGAATCATCCATATTAAATTTTTAAAAACTATCATCAAATTTGTCATCAGCGATCTCGAAAACTCCCGAGGAACAAGTTTCATGTAACACGATGAAACTTTTAAAAATTCGTCCATCATATTGGATCCGACATTTTTAATTTTTGAAAACTGATATCATATTCGTGATCAGTGACCCCAAAAACTTCCAAGTAATAATTTTTAAACAAAGTATATATTTAAGTATATACAAAATGTAAGTAGTAAAACGACAGTAAATGTTAAAATGATGGCGTTGTTGAACATCGAAGAGAACGCCTGAAAAAAGTGGGTTCACGGTTGACATGATTGATTGACCAATCTAAAACAAAAACGAAAAACTTTCTTAAAATATATTTTTGCAATTATTATCTAAACTTGATTCCAGAAAAAATTTTACAAACTGAGAAAAAAAAGTTAACAATTTTTTTAATTTCTATTAGAAAAAATTAAGTTTTAAAAAAAAGTAAATAAAACTAGAGAATTTATAGTGGGCATGGTGCAATACTTTCCTTGAATTTATGTGTACGAAAAGTTGATCACATGAGTTTGTTACTTTACTAAAATATTTTATATAATTCGATGGGTCATTTTACAAATGTGAACTCATCCTTTTCATAATAACATTAAGGCTTCATAATTCAGGTACTTCAGTTAAATTCGAAATGTTCTATACAATCATTCCAATGTTTAGAAGACGCTGTTTAACGACATAGAACATGGTGCGAGAGTAAAATTGGTTGTGTTATATTTAACACCAAATTAGGTGTTAAAATAAAACTTTGTATTTTCTTTGTTCTCCTAAGACACATTATAGAATACCTACTTTTATTTGAAAGATATTTTTAGACAAAACAATGCAAAAAATTGGACAAAACAATAGGATTACTTCATCAGGCGAAGT